CGAGGACGCTTTTAATACTTTCTAAAGATAATTACGATTAATTTAAGGCAGAAAACAAACGACGGTGTCGGTGACCTAAATTAAGAATCCTCGCACAGGGCTAACTGGCGCGCTGTTCTATTGATGTGTCTGCCCCCTACGTTAAGACGAACGTTACCAGAAAAAAACAAATGATAACAGTTTGATGACGGTTTACGTTCGGATTAAATATCTTCTCTGAATTATTTTAATTACATCTGTCATTAACGTAAACCATATGGGGTCAATATGAACGTTGCATTTCTACTACCAGCGTAAGTTTAGATCAGTACATCCAGAGGAAGTTGAGTGAATAGACATTCCACAATTGCATTGTGGGAATGTTGAACGTACACTCTCCTACCCAGAGTTCCATGCGGCAGGCCAGCATAGTATCTCTGCCACAGGTTAGAAAAATGTGACGATTCGTCACATCTTGCACCGTCCATTCAATATAATGTACAGATTTCTTTTACTCTGTTTTATTTTGACGAGTCTACACATCTAACTAAACATCTTTTAATAGAATGGTTTAGTTTCACTGAGAAAATATGCAAAGGCATGTAACACTATTTCGATTTGCGTAGCGATCCTTTGTTTACATAGTTTTACATAGGTTGTAATGCGGCTCGACGTGCTGTCATCGAAGCTGGTGGAGAGCAAACGATGCAGCCCGTTTGACTTCTAAATATGTACTGTCATAGACCTTACTGTCGCAGTTGTGGAAGAATATATATGTAACAATGTAAAACAATATGAAGAGAGTGCCGAAAAACTTTCGTTAGTCCAGTCTCTTCTTATTATGAATATGCGCGTTTGATTACAAACAAGGAAAAAGTCCGGTCACGTGATATGCAAATTAGCCTGTGGCAGTGATGTTATGTTATGTCATCGTTGATTGTGACATTCCACAATTGCGGAATGTAAACATTACGAACGTTACCGTGTCGTTGAAAACTTGTGAGTCGAAATGACACATTTTAACCGTCGTAAAACATAAACGTAATGTTTCCACCCAGTGATGTTAGCTGCGTGAAGCAACAGCAAACCAAGAAACTGGATGCAACGGTGTAGTTTACTGTAGGAGGCCGTACGAGGCGATGACAACTGACATGCATCGTGACGTCGCTTACATTGTGACGTAATGTAAAATGGTTCGATTACGAGGGGCACACTAGAATGGCGCAGTGACGGGAAAACGTCATTCAATTGTTACGTCATCAAAAACTATACCTTTATTGTCTGATAATGTATTTTTGTTCGATTGTTCTAACCGCTAGGCATCTTAGAATTTCTAATAGACTTTTAGGGTTGGTTATTTAATCGGGGTGGGAGACGATGCGATTCGTTTCATGACGAAAATATTTTGCTGACACCGAATCGTATGTAACATTCTTTAAAGGTCACATGCAACGTAAAACACAACTTTGTAGAGATTCTGATACCTTTCGGTATGGACTTTACCGAAACAAAGCGTCAAATGCAAATTCAACTTATAAAGTTGAAAAATAAGGCGATGAAAAACGCGCGAAATCGGAGTTCAAACGTTTCACTAATTTTCCCCAGACTTTTCTGGGGAATACCGGTTTCAACAGCTGGGCTGCGCTCATAGCACGTGCGCAAAGAAAGTGAAATAGGTTCAAGCAACTTGGAAGCCGGCTGTCTGGTGAATACCGGTGAAGGCTTTGGTGTGAGCTATTTTCATAATGTTTTGTTGATATCTCACAGGCGCGAGCTTTTATATGTTATGACAGTAAATAAACTGTTTATATAATTTCATTTGTCTATTTCACCACACGTTCTTCTTACCGAGTCACTTTCTCAGTTCGATACTTAAAAGCAATGTCATTATTTAGCGTTGACACAATTTCTAACTGTGATATAGATATGTCGCTGTCACAGACAAAACTCAATGTCTTGTTTTATTGACACCTGTGTGTCTGCCTGCCTGTCTGCTAATGACAATATTCAATACACAACTTCGATCACTGACCACATGCAATTTGAACTTAACACCAATCAGGCTATAAACAAACGCATTGATTTATGGCCCGAGTTCGGTCTCTGTCACATTATGTAATTACACAGACAGGCAGCTTTGCAGGTGCCGATACTTGAACACATGACATGTTATGATGTCTGTTGATTGCAAAATGTTATACCACAAAAAAATGAGCATGTATTTACAAAACCCAACATCTCTATATATACACACAATGAGCCGTGAAGGCGGCATCTGCTAACAAACTTTAAGAATGGCAATGGTTACGGTTCATGTTTGCAACTGTTTTCTTATGCCCCTCCCCATATAAACATGTCGCTGTCTTTCTCAGTCATCTTATCACGACCCCTCCTCCTTCATAATATATATCACGTTCCCTTATAGTAGTTGTCTGATAAACCCCTGAATGAGATTCATCGTATCTAGGAAGATAGTGCTGGGGTTGTGAAGGACACAACGTGTCACCCAACAAGGTACGAATGTAGTGTACATCTATTTACGTATCAAAGACATCTTGAAGGGTGGACAGTATGCCTCGTCTGTTATCTAAGGTTTAAGAGCGCGGGTATCAGATTTTGGGATCCGAATTTCCTAAGGAATAAAAAAATAAATTACTCAAAGCACGCAATGCTGGACACCTTTTATAAGAACAGAATAATCTGGATAAATTTATGACTTTTTCTGATGACTGATCGACTTTCGTTTTGTGTAAGTGCAAATGAAAAGGATGGACAGAAGGCTTTGATGAGGAATAGCACGGTATATTTGGGATTACACTTTCTCAGTAAAGTAGTGCTTGTCATAAGAGGCGACTAACCGGATCGGGTGATCAGGCTCGCCGACTTGGTTGTCAAATGTCATCGTTTCCCAATTGTGTATAACGATGCTCATGATGTTGACCATTGGATTGTCTGGTGCAGACTCCATTATTTACAGACTGCAGTCACATAGCTGGAATATTGCCGAGTGCGGCGTAAAACAAAACTCACTCGGTAAAGTAGAGATTCTAGTAGTTTTGTTGGGTCCCATCAGCACCATCAGAGTCAAGCACCTAATCGCCAACACAAAGTCTGCCGTCTAACACACTCAGCCACTGCAGCTTCCACAAAAATGGAAGTCGGACAACCGATAGCCCAGACCACGGAGTGATCACCAGCTGATATATGTGAATTGGCACGGCAAATCGGTTATTACTCCTAGTTTAAGTGCACGAGTATTAGATTTTTGGCTCCGAAATTCCTAAAGAATAACAACTAAAATACTCATAGCACTCAATGCCAGAACGAGTGAGTGAGTGAGTAGAGTTAGTGAGAGAGAATGACTGCTAAAGGCGGCGTAAAACTAAACTCACACTCGCACAATTAACACTATCGATCCATCATGGTGGCCTGTTCAAGGTTGCCGATGTGATGCAGATGTGAGAGTATATCCCGATTTAATGAAGTCCACAGTGGCATATAAATTTTAAATCATAATTGAAATCTGCAATCATTAAAGACATGTCGTGGAGAAATAACACAAACGTTGATTCATATATTGAGTTTGCTCGATTTAATGGATGTTAAGGCTCGTGTAACACCAGAATGACAAATACTTTTCCGTTGTCTTCCCTTTAGCAACTTCTTGCCTCAAGTTGAACAAATTATGCTATTCTAAACAAGCCATAACTACAAAACGGCTCGGCTCGGTTTCGTCCTGACAAACGCTTCCATCGCTTTGACCGTTGAATATACTGCACAATTTATACTCAGTTGACCTCTGTAAAGTACCTTGCGTATCACAAACCTGATGATTTTATTCCAATCTAAAGCTCTCAATATTTTTGTCGTCCATTCTCGGACGAAGTCAGGACATATGCCCGGGAAGTAAACAAATCTCAGGCTACAGACCCGCACCGAATAGTAGAGCGAGTTTCTGATTGTAGATAATACTTCCGGGTTGCACGTTCACAAATTTTCGAGGTGGGAATAATAGCCAAGACGTTTATCCAATCAGAGATAGTGTAAACACTCGAAAGAAAGCAAAAATCAAAACAAATATATGGTTTTATGTCGAATTTAACTGGTCTCAATTCATTTATGAATGGAAGGGACCGGAATTAGTTAAATAAATAGCTTAACGTTTGTTAACAAGCTCTTGTATAAACACATCTCACCACCACCCGTCCACCCCTGCACATCCCCTTCTCACAACTAAAAATACATCTCTGATGCAATGCCACCAAAATAGGACATCAATAATTGAAAACAATAGGCAAATGGATGTGTGTACTCAACTATGAACAGTTGTCACACGTAAATAATATTCATACAGCATTTATTTAGAGAGTGTTTACAGTACGCTAATACTGACCAAACCGGAAGTTGACCAGTGGATATTTTACACGCTCTATGCATGCGCATTGCGCAGTCGAAAATTAATGTGAAACCAAAGAATGTCCCGACTTCATCCGAATGGACGGCAAAATTATTGAAAGCTTTAAATGGGAATAAAATCATCAGGTTTGTGATACGCAAGGTACTTTACAGAGGTCAACTGAGTATAAATTGTGCAGTATATTCAACGGTCAAAGCGATGGAAGGGTTTGTCAGAACGTAAACCGGAGCCCAGCCAGGCCGCCATTTTGTTTCGATTTACTGACACACCTTTTATATCTTATAGGTATAGGTCATGCTTATAAATATATCGGAGTCAAGCCTATGGGCCGAATAGCTATATTTCACTCTTTGGCTATCTGTACCCAAAGCCAATTTTGGGATGGCGAGATCACGGTGAAAACTTCAAGCAGCAAAAAGCATGCGTACAAGAATGAATTTCCATATTGGTGTCTTCTGTATTACACCTTGGCGATAGCAAATATAAATAATACTGAATATAACATGTGGGTAGAAATGTGTTTTGACTTCCACTGCAGTAATTACCAAAAGCTTCCCAATCTCATTCACCTGAATCAGATGGTTGAAATAATAAAACAACTAGATATATTTCATGTTTTAATACTCATAAATGCTTCTTGCTTTATGAAGAAAGCACTGACAATTTTTTTTTATTATATATTAATATTTTTTTTCAAATTTCTGACGCATTATTACATATACCGTATTCATGGCAAATATTGAACAGAACTTTCTAACTATTCTGCATAGAAGAAAATAATATTTCATGCTCAAGAAATCCAGTGGCTGAAATCTGTACATTGTGAAAGGATGTGGTAATCAAGATACACACTGCCGTAGAGTGGAGAGTTGGAGGTAAGGAGCTTACAGTCCATAAACCGGATTCTAAGTGACTTGAAACGCAATGAAGTGGCAGCCCCTTACAAAATAACCGAAACACTGGGATAATAATAGTCCTGATAATTGATTTATGAAATATAAGGTCCCAGAGCTAAGGTTATTTTGCCAAGGGCTCAGAATTGTCCCACGAAATGAGGTAAAGCGTAACCAGGGTAAGTTACCATGGCAACAGTTACTGATACGGTTTATAATCAAAAGCAATCATCATTAAGACTAGAGGATACATATTCTGGTTTCAAATCAATTATATAGCTAATATACATTTTAGACTTCAAAATGGTAGCAAATCATCAATATGTACCTCTACCTTGAACCAAACTAAAACCCAGAACACAATAACAAATATAGGTTCAATACTCCACCATCAGCATAAAGGCTTCAATCACTAGAATACGTGATTGAGGTGACATTTGGCTAGTTGTCAATTTACAAAGCAGAATTGTGGAGGTAATCAATTAATACACAATCAAAAAGTCCTAAAAAATTTGATAAATACGCGCTTATACTGGAAACAATGCGTATCCTAGGCATATTTAATAAAAACCACAAAGCACAGAGATCAAACTTACCCCAAGAATATCACACGCCTGTACAGTACAACTGAAGTTAAAACCCTGACATACTGAACAAAAACATTAGGGATCAGAAAACATTGGGGGATATGTTTGAAATGACACAATTACCTAAAAACATCTCCCAAATCCCAAAGATTTTTAGTTCAGTATATTCTTTGCAAACCTGGGCCCCCAATCCTCAAAGCAATCATAGCGCTAAGATGATTGTAACTCCCCTACTATAACATAGACTTATGACTGTCGTAGCACTAGGATTGCTTTGAGGATCGGGGCCCTGCTGCCTTAAACGTGGTACAACACTTTCAGGTGGGCACTAGTGTTAAGTATGATCTCTGGTCAGTATATATCCCTGTGGTAATACTGCTTAATCGTGTTACACGTTCTGCCACGACTTCAACCTAGGATAATCACTGTGGTTATTTAAGCATACAAAAGTGGCGAAGTAAAGCTCCTATTCAGGTGATTGTTAATAGACATATCCACAGCACTCGCTTAATTGCAACTAACAGGCGCGCTCAATGTGTCAGTTGGAGGGTACATTGTCATAACACCATAAACAAACAAACATTGAGGAGCATCCGGGGTAATAGAAAAAGCCCAAGATTCGGAAACGAACGTACATACAAACTTACATACGCACATATATGTAGTGTACCATAAGTTCAAATTACACACAATTGTAAATAATAATAATAAGGAAAGAAAATCTGTATCATGATCAACATATTATAATCAGCCATGATGAAGCTCGGAATTAACCACCAATCCATATCCACTTGTCGCAAACTCATCCGTTGGTGCAAATCCCATAATGCCCTTCAGTCTTTTCTGGCTGCACTGAGATAATGCACTGAAAGTGTGCACAAAAAAACGCACCAATGCTTGTTGCACTAACAGGCAAAATAACAGGAGGGTTTCATTGTATCAGAGTTTACCAGGTCACCAAGTGCAGTGATAGTGGTAGAACTCAATCGTGTTGGTAATTGTTGATATTTTTTTAAAAACTCCCACTTTTCTAATCCCAATGCTCTTCACTATCCTTATTGGCAGCCCCTTATATCTTCTGAATCTTCTTGCCTACGACCACTGGGTTATTCTTCCGGATCTGCTGTTGTGCTAATTCTTTGTAATCGAAACTGCAGTCGTGTTTGTCTGAATATCGGTGTAGACTGCAGTAGAGCCCCCCACAGCGACACATAAAGCCTGCAAAACACAAATATCACACGTCAACATTCAACTATAAGTGAGTGAGTGAGTTTAGTTTGATGCAAGTTTTAGCAATATTCCTGTAACATCATGGCAGGGGACACCAGAATTTGGCTTCACATATTGTACCCATGTGGGAACTGAACTCGCATCTTTGGCAAGACGAGCAACACTTTAACCACATGGCCACCCAACCAACCCATTCATCTGTAATCATTTACACTTACAAATCTGTGATGAAGCAAATGACTTTGTGAGAGCAACTTTTTGTTAATTGCACATGGTGATGCTTCTATGTAGAATATTACACCGTTCTCAAATCAAGTTAATTTAGCTTGATTTGTTTGTTTGTTGGTTAACGCTGCACTTCAGCCATTTTCCAGCAATATGATATCAAATCTGGCCTAGACAATCCAGTGATTGACATCATGAGCATCGATTTTCGCAATTGGTATAAGCAGTGTATGAAATAAGCCAAAAACCCAGCCAGACATATGGGCTGGTAACTTCAAAAACTTACCAGCCCAGAAGAGATTTAACCAGTCCTTCTTAAATACTAAATAGACAGTGCCAATGGACATGTTATCTGAATATATTTTTTTCACCCGTCCATTGAGCTGGCTAGCTGTAAAATTAGACCGTCCAGCCAAAATCTAGCCTGTCTAGGGCTGTCAGACGCGCCTTATTTCATACACTGGTATAAGATCTGTCAACCAATCAGTCATTCTGACCACCCGCTCCTGTTAGTCGCCTCTTATGACAAGCATGGGTTGCTGATGACTTTGTTAGGTGTGGTGAGGTGAAATTGGGATTTTACGTCGTGCTTGAGAATATTTCGCTCATATGACGACGTGCATGCGTGTGTATGTGTATGTGCGGCTGCTTGTACTAGCCCAGACTTAAGCTGGGTTTTTTAATAGTGCTAGCCCACTGAGATACCATGCCGCAGTGAAGCATGAATACCCCACTCAGACACATTATACTGACTCCGAGCCGACCAGTCCTTGTTGTACCCATTAATGCCGAGCGCCAGGCAGGGACCAACAAGTACCAGATTTTAACGTCTTTTGGTATGACGCGGTCGGGGATCGAACCGGGGCGGACGCTCTAACCACTACACCACGGAGGCGGTTGACTTTGTTAGGCAAAGTAATAAATACTCATGGGTATAATCTTTAAAAGCCCCAATTGTATTGCTACACATACTTAGAATTTCATTACAACCAATAATAGTACATATATAAAACTTCCCAAACATAATAACAGATGAAGAAGTGCTATCAGTTGATTTTGACTAATGAGGTGCTTATTGTGATTTGATACCTCTTGATGACCAATAAGAATCATGATAGTTTCAAACTTCGATTAAATTGTTACTCTGAAGTACAAAAAATCAGTTTTTCATTCCTGCTCAGGTGCTTTAAGAAGTTATAGCGACCTTTCAAATTGCAGACAAAGTTGTATTTGATTCGAGCAGCAACATCAAAGGCCTCTGCTTGCACAAATCAATAAAATGTGTTAAAACCTATTACTGATTAGGTTTATTATTCGTGAGATCAAGGTACTGCCTGACTCACCTGTTAGTCCAACCTTCTTCTTACAAGTATGACATCTGTTTTTCTTAGGCTTCTTGTCTTTCGTCTTCAGACTTCCCGTCATCTGACACCTCGGCCCCCCCTGGTGACAAACAACAAACGGTTAGGCAGGTGGGACACCAGGTGTTTGACTACATGTCTTCACAACTCTTTCCATAAGAAATGAGACAAACATGTATATTCACTTTTCAAACCCGAAATCCTTCATATAATTAGCACCCCCGTGAATGAGTAATATTGTATTGATTGTCTGCAACATTCCAGCAGCAGCAGTGTGGAGTAGTACTTATGTGAGATGTGAGTGAGTTTAGTTTTACGCCGCTCTTAGCAATATTCCAGCCATGTCACGGCGGGGGACACAAGAAATGGGCTTCACACATTTTGCTCGTCGGGAATCGAACCCGGGTCTTTGGCGTGACCAGCACACGCTTTAACCACTAGGCTACCCCACCACCCCAGTACTTCTGTGAGGCACTGAACCCTGGTCTTCGAGTGAGTTTAGTTTTAGGCCGCACTTAGCAATATTCCAGCCATACGACGGCGGTCTGTAAATAATCGAGTCTGGACCAGACAATCCAAAGATCAACAGCATGAGCATCGATCTGTGCAAGTGGGAACCGATGACATGTGTCAACCAAGTCAGCGAGCCTAACCACCCAATCCTGTTAGTCGCCTCTTACGACAAGCATGGGTTACTGAAGATCAATATTCTAACCCGGACCTTCACGGGTCTCTGGTCTGAGACATAACAAGCATATGCTTATTATAAGATTGGGTACTGCCCCATTTTAACACAGAATTCCCCAAACAGGTACCACAAGATCCACAGTTGTAACTCTAAGACTAACCAAATGAATGTGACAGAGTTCATGAATTGTGTTCAAAGTAACAGGGCATTGGGTCCTGTAAGATTCAGATGTCTGACCCACTGAAAATTCACAGGACCCATAGAATAAAGACTACACATATTTCAGATTTAACATTTCTCATAATTGGCACTGAAATTATTAACAAACGTAAAATTGATAAACAGCAAACAAGGGTCACATATAACAACTTCAGTCAAGTCATTGTGAAACAGACAGCCGGACACTGGGGCCAGCAGGTTGTAGACTTCCATCGCACCGTCGGCGAAACTGTCGGATTTGTCCGAGGGACCGATGCTATTCGTGAACACTGATGTGATTGTAAACTGTGAATACTCTGAGTAATGTCAAGGGGAGACAACTCGTACCAGTGGCTCCTTCTTCTGTCTTCTCCGTGTCTTGCTTTTCCTGACTGGCGCTGGCTACAGGCACAGTGGGCGTGGCCGTCTCCACGCTAGGTGTGGTGTTGGTAGTGCTGGGCGTGCTGCCAGGGGGTGGCGACGTGGAAGATGGAGGATCTGGTGATGTTGTACCTGGAGGCAGCAAACAGAAAGTCAGCCTTGAGTTGACCATACTGCACATCATGATAGTACAACTGCATTTATCTTTATTCTTTATTACGAAAATAATGGTGACCATTGGTCCGTGACTACAATACAATAATCAGTAACTCCATTTATACAATCTGGGCATGCCGAGTCATAAAATTGGGTTTAGTGTGAGGATCTTTGCCTTTTATATCTCTGGATCTGTTCGCTGATAAGGATACCACATTGCTGTTCTAACATGGAAAGCCCACTTGAGAAAAAGTTACTGACTCCGACATGTCTTGTTTTATCTACTTATTGTCAGGCAGGGCAGGGCTTGATTTAAGAGATGTTAACCTAGTTGCACCAGAAGCAACCTATGGTAAAAACCTAGCTGCACCAGCCAAATTCCAGTTGCACTGCTCTTATCATAATATGTAATGAAAGAAATGTGCTACTAAATTATTCAAAGCTTAGAAAAAAAATGAGCTGACATAAAAATGCTTATGTTAGATTTATTGTTGATTTATGTCTCAAAATTGACTTGCACCTGGTGTAAGTTAGACAAATAATTCGGTTGCACTTTGTAATATTGGGTTGCACCAGTGCAAGTAACAAAGCACTAAATCAAGCCCTGCGGGGTAATATCTTGAATCACCTTTTTAACATCTCTTGGTACGAGATGAGTGAGTGAATGTTTTATGATGCTTTTAACACTATTCCAGCAATATCATGGTGGAGGACACCAGAAACAGGCTTCAGACATTGTACCCATGTATAGTCCGTTTGGCTCAAAAGCGGACCTATGATTTGCAATCTAACTCGAAAACTAATGAACATAAAATACTCAATGAAACGCTGACCATAATCAAAACATCATACCCACTCTGTGAGGTTTTTGCAGAAAGTTGTTTAACAAACTATCATTAAAATATTGACACAGTTCACTGTTTGTTACGAGGGAGGAGTGCAGAGAAAGGGACAGCCAGGTGTTCGAGAACGGATGGAGATGGCACAGCACAGGTTAATGAATAAATAACTTTGTCTGTGAACGTGCTTCTCGAACACCTGGCTGTCCCTTTCTCTGCATTCCTCCCTCATAACACAGAGTGGGTATGATGTTTTGATTATGATCAGCGTTTCATTGAGTATGTTATGTTTATTAGTTTTCGAGTTAGATTGCAATTCATCGGTCCGCTTTTGAGCCAAACGGACTGTAGTCTTCGGCATGACGAGCGAACTCTTTAACCACCAGGAATTTACAGGGATTAAAAGTTATTTGTATGAAACAAATTTTATACACGTGGCATGCAGGACATAATTGCAGAAGCGAAGCACTGCATCTATACTTTTGACACAACAAACTGACAAACTTGAATACTACTTTTTGTGGACACAGAAAATCACAGACTTCTTCAACCACTGGATCACACACAGAGTCCAGTAAAATTCTGTTGAGTCCAGTAAGGTCAGTTAATAAGAGTACCCGTGAAGATCTAGGTTAGCATTGGTTTTGTCATGAAAGGCTACCGTCTGTATTTGTTGATGTAGTTTTTGACATCAACCTATGCAGTTTGGATATGATGACATGCTTCAACCTTATCAGTGTGCCTGACCACCCGATCACGTTGGTCGCCTCTTACGACTCTAGGGTTGGTGAAGACCAAACCTTACCTGGATTTTCACCAGTCCTCTGAATGTAGAGGAGGTGAGGTGAAATTGGGTTAACGTCGTGCTTGAGAATATTTCGCTCATATGACGACGTGCATGCGTGTGTATGTGTATGTGCGGCTGCTTGTACTAGCCCAGACTTAAGCTGGTTTTATAGTGCTAGCCCACTGAGATACCATGCCGCAGTGAAGCATGAATACCCCACTCAGACACATTATACTGACTCCCGAGCCGACCAGTCCTTGTTGTACCCATTAATGCCGAGCGCCAGGCAGGGACCAACAAGTACCATATTTTAACGTCTTTTGGTATGACGCGGTCGGGGATTGAACCTGAGACCTTCCGCACTCCGAGCAGACGCTCTAACCGGTCGCCTCTTACGACTCTAGGGTTGCTGAAGACCAATTCTTACCTGGAATTTCACCAGTCCTCAGAATGTAGAGGAAAAGAAATGAAGCCGGATTGTTTCAGAAAGCAGACTTGAGATTTACTAAAGAGCCCATGCATCATTCATATAGCTCAGCCTTTAATACACACAGACAATGAGTGTCGATGTTTGGAAGTTTTCTTGCCAGGTAAAAAAAGTATATCAACCAATCTGTACTTAAGGATATAAATTACTTCTATTATGACACTATCTGGTCGTGAAAAGGTGCTCTTGAGAGATCTTATTATGTCCGTAATCTCTCTACCAATTTCAGTCCAAGTTCAATTCAATATTGTTGACATCAATTTTCACAAAATGTGTGAAAGCTGGTCAGCTCGCTCGCGCACGCGACGCGCCGCACGCACGCACGCACACACATGCACACACACACACACACACACACACACACACACACAGAGAGAGCTAATATCATCATCATCATAACACATTTGTAATGCGCTGGTATCCATGCAGTCCATGCTCAAAGCGCAGATAGAATGTAACAAATTACATAGTTATAGTTGAAAAGGCTGTCCTGAACAAATGTGTCTTTAACCGGGATTTGAAAGTGACAAAGTCAGTACAGTCCCTGAGATTCTGTGGAAGTTTGTTCCAGGCCACTGGTGCTGCATAGGCAAAGGATCTGTTTCCATACTGCACTGTTCTTGTTTTAGGGACAACAAGCAGACTTTTATATTGCGAACGGGGCGAGCGAGAAGGCTTGTACAGAGAAAGAAGACTGGATAAATATGTAGGGGCAGTTCCACACAGACAGAAGACAAGGCAGAGAAGTTTAAACTCAATTCTGAAATCCATGGGCAGCCAGTTTAGAAAGTATAGAAGAAGAGGAGTGATATGGTCATTCTTCCTGGATCTTGTCACAATGAGGGCTGCTACATTCTGGACTCTTTGTAGCTTTTGTAACTGAGACTTGGTTGCACCGGCCAACAGACAGTTGCAATAGTCAAGTCTGCTCATGACAAGGGATAGAAGCGAGTTGTTGCTGTTTCAGTTGTCAGGTATTGGCCGGATATTGCCTATGTTCGAGGTGAGATGAAGCAGGTCTTAACTTCGATTAGAGACATGCAGGGGTGGAAATAACCCATTGCCCGGCGCCGAGTCAAGAGTTTTTTTCTGTCGGGCAAGCAAATTTGTATATCACAATGTACCAGTGTCCAGTTGACTTTCCAATGTTAATTATGTTGTTTATTTTAAAAAATCAACAAGAAAATCGGCCAGTATAGTGGAAAAATTATCAGGGCAAGTGATTTTACTTGTTCGACTGTACCGGAGTACACTAGCAATTTTAAAGTTATTTCCAGCCCTGGACATGATTGTCAAGTGACAAATTTGAGTCTAGGATTACACCAAGATCTCGGACTTGATCTGCGAAAGGAATATGTGAGTTGTCGAACTCGAAGGAATCAATAGCACCAAGTAAGAAAAGTACTTGAGTTGCCAGTTGGCACAAACTCACCATCATTTGCACTACCCATGGTCAGATTAATGACACTGATGCCTTTACTGACTGACTGAGTATGGTTTTACGCTGCTTTTAGCAATACTCCAGCAACATCACACGGCGGGGGAAACCAGAAATGGGCTTCACACATTGTACCCATTCAGCGTGACGAGCGAATGCTTTAACCACTAGGCTACCCCACCGCCCCCTGATGCCTTTAAGTGAACCTATAGTTTGGCATGAAATGCATGTGGACCCGTTTTTTTGTAAATATCTCTTCATCCAATGACCCAATCGATCTCAAACTGTGCAAGTGGATGTTTTGTCAGACAACCTAATCACATTGTAAATCACCGATTTTATGCATTTGTATTAAAGAATCTGTCTATGTAACTGTCAACAAAATAAACAGCAGAACGCAGAAGGCTTGCAGAGGGAGGGAGCCAATGACCTGTAACAGCGGTAGTGTTGGGTCATAAAGGTAAATGCACGTGCAGTTCATGATAGTTACCTGTGCACTGCACAGTGATAGACCGTTTGGATCATTCACATTGACTACTTCTAGCTGTCATCATGAAAGCTTATTCAGATGATGCTAAACGTTTAATTAGCAATGTGTTTAATTTTTTTTTTAAAGAGAGCAAAGGTAGCAAACCGATTTATAAGGTGTCTGATTACATGAAACATACAACTTTTGCTCTTGGCATGAAAAAGAACATCGTGCTAACAATTGTGAAAAATAAACCAACAACCAAGAAACAAAACCTTGTACAAAAAGGTAGGCATCCAAAGTTAGATTCTTTTGACATCAGGGTCATCAGCATAGCTGACCTACATTGACGAACGTTGACCTTTATGACCCAACACTGCCGCTGTTACAGGTCATTGGCTCCCTCCCTCTGCAAGCCTTCTGCGTTCTGCTGTTTATTTTGTTGACAGTTACATAGACAGATTCTTTAATACAAATGCATAAAATCGGTGATTTACAATGTGATTAGGTTGTCTGACAAAACATCCACTTGCACAGTTTGAGATCGATTGGGTCATTGGATGAAGAGATATTTACAAAAAAACGGGTCCACGTGCATTTCATGCCAAACTATAGTTGATTGCAAACGAACTACTATGTGAGTGACGTTTATACCAACAGCATCATGCAAGGCCAATGAAATGCATACAGATGTTTCATGTTGGAAACATGATCCCTGACTGTAATCATAAGCCAATCAAACATATAAAAATCATAAATGATGATTGACAACATAGCATATGTTGACATTTATTAAATCACTGGAGCGTGTGTGGTTTTACTTCACTTTAAGCAAGGGGGGTTTAGTTTTATGCCACACTCTAGCTATATGGCAGCAATCTGTAAATACTTGAGTGTGGACCAGACAATCCAGTGATCAACAACATGAGCTTCGATCTACACAAGCGGGACATGACGTGTCAAGCAAGTCAGCAAGCCTGACCACCCTAACTCAAATCTTCGCGGGTTTTTACAACATTCCAGCAGTACACGGTAGGGTACCAAAGAAAACTTGTTGAAAAATGTGGAAAAATTATGGAAAATGTCCACACTAAAAATAGAAAAACACACATAATACAACCTAATTGGTTGTAATCATTGTAAGGACTAAAACCAAACAAATGAGAGTGTTTAGTTTTACGCAGCTTTAGCAATATTCCAGCAACATCATGGCAGGGAACACCAGAAATGGGCTTCACTCTAGTGGTGATCCGATTAATTGAAATAATCGAAGATTGGTCGCAGTGACTACACGACCAAGCAATAGATCATGATTTCTCATAATTGAACACAAACAATTCTGGAACGCTTGTTTTCATCAACAATATTTTTCACAAGGTTGGTTTTGTCTGTTACATTTCATAAGCACTACAAGCTCGTTCAAAGTCATGATTGAATTTATCTTAAAGGCACCAAGAAATTTATGTTCCTAACATACTAGTCATCCTTTAAAGATGTGAAATTTTGCCCAAAAACCCCCAAAATAACTACGTTTTTTTCCCTTATTTTTTTGTGCATTGACAAATTTCATAAATGACGCTAACCAATTATTTTCAATGATTGATCAGTGGTAATGAACCAATCATCAATTATGAGATTTTAACCAATTCCCAACACAACTTCACACACTGTACCCGCGTGCTCAGTTTGATGAGCAAACGGTTTAACCACTCTACTACCCTAAGCACCCCAAGAAATGAAATCCAACTCATTAAATGAAACAGATGACAACAGACCGAGTACTTCCGCACTTGGTTTGCTGCAGTTTCCAGTGAGTGAGTGAGTGAGTGAGTGAGTGAGTGAGTGAGTGAGTGAGTGAGTGAGTGAGTGAGTGAGTGAGTGAGTGAGTGAGTTTTGTTTTACGCCACACTCAGCAATATTCCAGCTCTATGGCCGTTGTCTGTAAATAATCGAGTCTGGACCAGACAATCCAGTTATCAACAGCATGAGCATCGATCTGCGCAATTGGGAACCGATGACATGTGTCAACCAAGTCAACAAGCCTGACCACCCAATCCCGTTAGTCGCCTCTTACGACAAGCATGAGTTACTGAAGATCAATATTCTAACCCGGACCTTCACGGGTCAATTGAGTGAGTTTAGTTTTACGCCGCTTTTAGCAATATTCCCGCAATATCACGACAGGGACACCAGAAATGGGCTTCACACATTGTACCCATGTGGGGAATCGCAACCAGATCTTCGGTGTGACGTGACGAGCGAATGCTTTAACCACTAGGCTACCCCACCGTACCCAGTTTCCATTGAAAACGTGGTGCTTTCACATCATTATGATGAGGATTGCACGTTGTTTGCAATAAGTGCTGATATTTCTATTTTAAGCGAGTACACATTCCATAGTTCAGCTGTCTTTCATTCATGTTTATACAGAAGCAAAGACAAACAAGTGTTTGCCACTGATATGGTAATGTCCCCTGCTGCTAAAGAATGGAATACCTATATTTACTAAAAAAAAATTGGGGGTCACATACAAGATGCCTGAAATGACTGGTATCTTCATAATCACCCAATGTAGGCTGTCAACATACTTGAAACATTGGGTGCAATGTTTTATGAGATATCGCCTTTAAAAAGCGGTCTAAGTATCGTGGTGACCTTGAAGATAAGGTCAAGGTCACCCAAATAAACTGGTGTCTGTGTAATACCCCAATGTAGGCTGTCACCAAATTTCAAGACATTGGGTACAACACAGTCCATGAGATGCCGTGTTAAGAAGAGTTTTAAAGTGTTCCAAGTGTCGTGGTGACCTTGAAAATAAGGTCAAGATCACCCAAATAAACTGGTGTCTGTGAAATCCCCCAATGTAGGCTGTCACCAAATTTGAAGACATTGGGTACAACAGTCCATGAGATGCCGTGTTAAGAAGAGTTTGAAAAGTGTTCAAAGTGTCGTGGTGACCTTGAAAATAAGGTCAAGGTCACCTAAATAAACTGGTGTCTGTGAAATCCCCCAATGTAGGCTGTCACCAAATTTGAAGACACTGGGTACAACAGTGCAGAAGATATCACGTTAACAACAGTTTGAAAAGTGCTCAAAGTGTCGTGGTGTCCTTGAAAAATAAGGTCACCCAAATCGACTGGTGTCTGCGTAATCCCCTAATGTAGGCTGTCACCAAATTTCAAGACATTGGGTACAACAGTTAATGAGATATCATGCTAACAAGAGTTTGAAAAGTGGTCAAAGTGTTGTGGTGACCTTTAAATAAGGTAAAGGTCACCCAAATTGACCGGTGTCTGCATAATCTCCCAATGTAGGATGTGACCAAATTTGAAGACATTGGGTACAACAGTTCATGAGATATCGCGTTAACAAGAATCGGAACGTACGTACTACGTACGGACGCCGCTGGATACATAGCAGGGTTCGAAATACCCCATATATTAGGGTGCCATGACACGGTAAATACTGAAATGGCACGGTTAAAAAATGTTCTTGGTGTTCTTATGGCACGCATACCTCACCTTTAGTCATGTAATCCCCAAAACAAAACACTTACGCAAATGACAAACAAGCAAAAACATTTATTGACTTTATCGCCAAGGAAATCACTGGAATTATGATGGATGATGTCAAGAAATCTGGTTGTTTTTCCATTTAGAGTGATGGGAGTACTGATAGATTGGTTATTGAAGAGGAAATTGTGTATGTTAGATATATTGAACAAGTAAACCTGTCACAAAATTCTTAGCTATTAAAGGTGTTGGGAAAGCAGAACAAATGAAGTTTAAGAAAGCCATCTTAAACAACACATATCGGTGATAACAGAAAACAGGTTACATTTGTTGTTTACTGACATTACATTTCATATGATCATCATCCTTGCTACATGTGGGCACACTTGATTTCTGAAAGGCACGTTTAAAATATTTGCCTGGTGCCCTGAGGCACAGTTAGAAAAAAGAAGTATTTCTATCCCTGCATAGTTCCCCCTTCCGCATTGCGGTGGGGGGACAAAAATATTTCATGGTCTGAAGTTAGATTTTGGCATATTCCATTCTTGAAAATATCCCCATACCAACAATCAACGCCAAGCTTATTAGACTTTTGTTAAACATGAGAGTTAGTAGCAGCAGTTAGTGACATTGTAAACTGAATACCAAACCATGTACACACTGAGGACGGCTGTAAGTCTGCCACATAAGCTTCAGCAGAGATAACTTATACAGAGATAGAGATGCAAAGCTAAACAAGGGAGGTAACTGAACAAGGAGATGGAACTGCACAGTTGACAGGAATTAGGTAGAGATGTCTGCCAATGTGATACATTAAGGCGTAGTCACAAGTCTACCACAAAAGCGTCTGCAGGGAAGATAGATATAGACAGCGTAGAAAGAAGCAGAGCTAAACAAAGGGAGGTAACTGAACAAGGGGATGGAACTACAAACAAAGATGACAAGAATTACCTAGAGATGTCTGAGCCAATGTGGCAGACATGCTGGAGACGTCGTTGGTCTCACCTGTGGGGCTGACTCGACCGCTACTCACAGGCGAGGAGGAGTTCTGTTTTCGCTTTAGTGCATCTTTGTAGCACTTGGAGCACATGCCATCGAAAGCAGCATTGCCATAGAAACCACAGCCTGTGCGACAGAGTGTAGTGGGAGGCAGGTTCTGGTTCCCGTTCTGTTCCATCTAGAACCCTGGCAGGCACCCACACAACTGAAACAGAGGGTACACACATGAGGTGGGGCACAGCATGGTTGGGAGGTGGGACACAGCATGGTTGGGAGGTGGGACACAGCATGGTTGGGAGGTGGGACACAGCATGGTTGGAAGGATAGGGCAGAGCATGGTTGGGAGGGTGGGGCCATGGTTGAGAGGGTGGGTCACAACATGGTTGGTAGGAGGGTGGGGGCAGCATGGTTGGAAGGGTGGGGCACAGCATGCTTGGAAGGGTTTGGGACAGCATGGTTGGGAGGGTGGGGACAGCATGGTTGGGAGGTGGGGGACAGCATGGTTGGGAGGGTGGTTGGTAGGGGGGGACAGCATGGTTGGGAGGGTGGGTCACAACATGGTTGGTAGGGTGGGGAGCAGCATGGTTGGAAGGGTGGGGCACAGCATGCTTGGAAGGGTTTGGGACAGCATGGTTGGGAGGGTGGGGACAGCATGGTTGGGAGGGGTGGGGACAGCATGGTTGGGAGGGTGGGGACAGCATGGTCGGGAGGGTGGGGCACAGCATGGTTGGGAGGCTGGGACAGCATGGTCGGGAGGGTGGGGCACAGCATGGTTAGGAGGTGGGGGACAACATGGATTGAAGGATGGGGCACCATGGTTGGATGAGGTGGGACACATCTCAGATAGGTGGATGGGCAGAGTGAGTGAGCGAGTTTAATTTTACGCTGCTTTTTGCAACATTCCAGCAATATCATGACAGGGGACACCAGAAATGGGCTTCACACATTGTACCCATCTGTGGAATCGAACCCTGGTCTTCGGCATGAGCAAACGCTTAAACCACTTGGCTACGACATCGCCCCAGATGGGCAGAGGAGATGGGGAGGGCTGATGGCAATGGGGAAGGGGGCTCTTACACCCAACCCACTGACATTCACTCTTGATGCTGAAAAAAACAGAGGACACATAAGGACAACTCAATGAGGCCCTTGCATCTATCGACTGGACAAAGTGACTGGCAACCATAACAAAGAACACACTTGAAGTGGGGTACAACATGGATTGGGGATGAAGCAGGGATGAAGAGGCACAGGGTGACGGAAGGTGAGGCTTGTGGCTAGTAACTGGCAACTAAAACAAAGAGCACACACAAGATGATAAGGAGGGACAAGTGGTGGGGGTGGGGGTGGGCCACAACTTGGTAGCATCCACAGTTCACGCAACAGTGACAGACAACCGGAAGTACAACGAAGGTGGTGCACAGAACGGTGGCAGGTGAGCCATAAAGGTGGGGCTAAGGCATTGTAGGTTTATACATTGATGGAAATAAGGCAGTACATTGTAGTCCTGGGGCACTACAATGAGGGGGGGGGGACCATACCCACACATATTGTAAGGTGTGCACTGTGTGGTGGAGTTGGGCTGAAGATGGGGTAAAGACCTGATGACAGGTGGGGCAGCTATGAGAGGATTAGGTACATGGAAATGGAGCAACTGCAACAGGCAATGTCACAGTATTTAGAGGGACGCCTAACTTCAACAAGGGGGTGAGCGCAGTAGATTGAACAGTGAAACAAATGCACGTGCGGAACATGATGAGCGTTAACTTAAACCAACACTACTCGTTCTCGGTGTTTCATATCAAGTGCATACCCCCTTGTAATGCAAACCAATAATAGCGATTTGAAACTATGATCGTTTGTTAAACAACTTTTATCCTAAGTTGAATAAAATTCTGAGATTTGAATGTTCAATTGGCAAGGTAGATTTATGCGGATTCGCAATCTTAATTTCACTTTATTCGATTTACCTTTTTGTTTAGAGTGAAATTCATCGGTACGTTTTCACTGCAAACAGACTATATATTTCATCACAAAAGCATTAGCATGCACAAACCAGGGACTTATTTGATATCTGAATTTTCTTCAAATCCAGATGAATTACCACTGTACCCAACACAGTGCTGGTATTAATCACTGGTCTTTTATCAGTGATATACAAGTCATCCTACATAGCCATAGCATTAGCTACTGCTATATTTACATTACTGAAATGAATATAAATATTCTTATTTTAAAGTTGGAAGTTTTACCAACATTTGCTGACAACATGACGACAAACATCAACCTCTGGCCCAGTGTAGACACACCCCTTGTATTAACCCCAAACTTTTGCAAAAATATTGCTCCATGTTCAAACAAGAAGACTACATGTTTTGACACTAACTGCAGCAGTTCTTTCACAGACAAATCACATTAGGACTTTTACAGATTTACTTTTGACAGAATATTGCCAAGTATTATTACAAAATTTGAATAAAACAGAGTACATTCTGGTTTACAATTAGTCCAATTAGTATTTCTACTGGACAAGCTACAGAAGGTCCTAAATATTGCCGCACAGATAATAAACCATTCTTCTAAACAGACTCACATCACGCCGGTGCTTAAACAACTGCACTGGTTACCAGTGAGGGCCAGAATACAGTTCAAGATACTTTGTCTCACTTATAAATCACTTCATGGTCAGTCTCCTCCTTACATATCTGAACTCATAAATATGTATGTTCCAGCCCGTGAACTGCGGTCACAACAGCAGAATCTCCTGACAGTACCTCCCTACAAGCTTAAGACCTTCGGTCACAGATCCTTCTCACACACTGCCTCGGTCTTGTGGAACTCTTTACCCTTTGACCTGAAGCTCGCACCAACTCTGGACTCCTTTAAAAGCCATCTCAAATGCACCTTTTCATTCAGTTCTATGATAAGGACGCATTAGGGTTTCCCTTGTCGTGTTTGGAAATCCTGGTTGCTAAGGAAACCTCATACCGCAGCGAATCATCTCGGTTAAATTTGGTAAGTGATTGGTCAAAATTGTGCATGGGTATGTAAACATGGCGGCACAGAAACAAATTACAAGTTTCATTCAGAAACAAGACTGTGCCTCGACTTGTAAACAGTCAAGTTATCAAATTGCTGTACGAATAATGAACGAACTGCTACTAGCATCTCTTGTTCATCTTGTCGTAGTCACACTCCATTAAATTACATTCAGTACTCTAAATGTACTCTTAATATTTTTCCAGTACTCCTATATTGAAAAAATAAGGAGTACATACTCCTGAGGTTGAAAAATTATCTAGAGCCCTGCACTGCTAGAGTCTAGCACTCTCAACAGAAATACAGGAAACCACCTGCTTGTCTGCCTTTGCCATTACATCGAACATTCTTCCAACATCTGGACATTAGAATCCATCACTGCTGCACATCTCTAATATCAAAGTGAGATCACAACAGGTTCCAGCACAAATTGCACCACCATATCCATCTGTATATTAGATACACCATCTATGAAACACCAGCTGACATACAAACCTACACCTGGGTGATGTCTGCTTCGTTAAATCAAATAATTTGAAGTTCATACAGTCACTTGTATATGATTATTAATTTGAATTTTCGCATCAATATTTGGAGCTTTCAAATATATCATAAAATCAATCAGATTTCTCCTCATGGAAATAGACAAAATATTTCTAAAGCACTAACGCGGACTGTGAAGTGTTTTCAGCTTGAAAAACGTGTTATGATGAACTACACCATCAAAAATAATCCCTTTAAATTAAATCAACTTTTAATTTTAAAATTATGCAGGGTTAGACACGAGCCGGGTAAGCACTAAAATAAAGAAAAAAATGTTCCCTCAAATCCTAGTTATCTTACATTAACTGCTTATCTGAAATCCGCTGTGGACCAGTCTTCCGTTGATGTTTTTGCACCACACTACGAACTAGAACATTCCTCACACACAAACTATTGGGAGACATGTCATGACTTGAGGTGAAATTGGGTTTAACGTCGAGCTTGAGAATATTTCGCTCATATGACGACGTGCATGCATGTGTGTGTATGTGTATGGTCGGCTGCTTGTACTAGCCCAGACTTAAGCTGGTTTTATAGTGCTAGCTCACTGAGATACCATGCCGCAGTGAAGCATGAATACCCTACTCAGACACATTATACTGACTCCAAGCCGACCAGTCCTTGTTGTACCCATTAATGCCGAGCGCCAGGCAGGGACCAACAAGTACCATATTTTAAAGTCTTTTGGTATGACGCGATCGGGGCGGATGCTCTAACCACTACACCACGGAGGCTGTCGGGAGACATGTCATGACTTGAGCAGTGTCCCATCACTTTTGATCATAATGTCAGTCTTTCAGGGATGACACGTTGATATTTCATCGTTGTGGACTGGGAAACAGCACTGGACATCAGAAGGTGATATGTCAGTGTAAGAGAGCAGAGTGTCAAACATGTTTAAGATTAGATGAAAATAGATGACATGCCGTCTTGGAATGCCGCGATACATCGATACTGTTTCTAAGACAATACAATTATCCATACATTCAAAACTGTATTGATATTTAGTTTTGAAAGTATCGGTTCAAATATGTTTTTGTATCGTTTACATTTTGTAATTTATCATGTTTTTTTATGTTATGAGAGTTATAAATGATTATTTTTCATGCACAAAGAAGGGAAATTAGAACTTTTTAATCTCAGAGAATCAAAATGTTGATCTTTCATGTACAATTATAAAATATGAAATATTAATGTTCAAAATGTAACCTACGCAATAATGCCACTAAAATAGGTATCATGATACGTATCGATTCATGAAACTTATGCATCGTGACATCCCTAATGCCTTCACTTGCAAAAAATAAAAGGATGTCAAAGTGAAAGCCTACGCCAGTAGTTGACTGGCTAAACCTGGCTGATATCATACCATTAGTTAGCAGGGTTTTAAACAGCTTTTAGCATTATTCCAGAAATATGCTTGGGATACCAAAAATAGGATTCACCAATGCGGGGGATAGGAGTATGACGAACGAATGCTTCAACCAGTATGTTACCTCACCACACCCCACACACCCCCCCTCCCCCCCGCATACTATCATCATCAGTTAGCATACATTACAGCGTCAGAAAATAAGTAATACCCTGCCATGGTACTGGAAGCAAAATACGTCAAAACAGGGTTGGTTCCACTAACCTGAATTTGTATTTTGGGATTTCTTTCAGCAGATGCAACAGTTGGTACACAACCCATTATGTTGGGCAGCCCATACGCATTCTTAACGAAACACATGGATGACACGAACACCCAAGAGCAAATATGTTCCAAATTATACAGAAGGGTGTATTGACGTCAATACAGTGTGACATATTGCAAAAAAGTGCCTCTGATCTTTTAGCGAAGCATCTGAATGTCTGTGGTAACTCGGCGTATTGAGACTGAAATGCTTGAAATGTATAATGAATGAATGTTTGAAAGGTATAATGAATGCATATTTGAAATGTATAAGATATGAATGGTTTTGCTTTGTGAAAGAAGAGAGCTAACGGGCAGATTGTTATCACAGGGCTGAATAAATTATCATAAAAATAAATCTTGTGTTGTTTAATACAGTGTTTACTGGTTATTGCAATCCTGTTTCAGCCATGAATTACATGGGTACGGGTAATCAATCCAGGGTTTGAATTGTCCAAAATCTGGGTACAAGTTGTCCAAATTTGGGTACAGGTCATCCTGAACCAGTCCCAGATGTCCAATATGGGTACAAATCTGACGATAATTTAAAGTGTGATTACTGTTAGGTACAAACATTTGTGTACGGCTCATTTAGTATCCCAAAGTCTAAAAATCTTAACCACAAAAACATTTACTCGACTGGGGCTACTGAATTATTAGATGTTGATGTGTATGAAGATGCATGAAAAGTATGTGGATGAAAACAATTTACATAACACATCATTAAACTTTATGACCACACAAAATACAGTGTCTAATTTCTCAGGAATAGGTTTATAAACAATAAAATAATCAACTTAAGTAGCCGTTATTGGACATTGGTCACCCATGAAACTCCAACATAAGTCAGATGTCCCCATTAACACTGTTTGTGACATATTCATCTTTAACATCAAACAGTGCATAACAAACCATCCAAGGAAAAACTCAAGATGCCTAACTTTATGATTGTCAGCTGATTTGCATAATACCTTAGTCATTGATACATCACCAAAATGAAAAAGACAGGTATATGTAAGATGAGAAATATTGACTTCATGGAGACAAAGTCCAAGTAGTCAGACATCCTAATTTGACCTTCCCCAACAGCTGAGACTGAGTGAACAAAGCACTTTGATCCCTCATAACTAACAGTATATATGACCCTATTTGTGACTCACAGCTGTCCACTCCAAGATATATTAGTCAACCAACTGTTATGAAAGCATATATATATAAGTCTACATACGTTTTCAAACAAGTATCCACTGCATATTCACAAGATCGACTGTCCCTGTTGACTTATTCGACTTTTTAGCCTCAAATATGCGCTTAGTTAGAATTAATTGATCATACCTTAGACTCAACTCGTAAACTTCCACTTTGTTTACATCGGGGTTACTTACACACAAGCGGACAAAAAATTACGTTAGATATACGCCATTTTTCAACATTTCAAGTTATAAATACCACGTACAAGTAACGATAGTGACATAATTCTGTAGGAAAGGTGAGGGAAGGAAAGTACATGTATCCTGCTTTATCAAACCAGCTAAACTAGCTGGGTCGTTGCGTTGGCAGAGAAATAAACACTACAGAGGAAAATACCGTTCACAAAAACTACCCGCCCAAATTACACAAAAATAACTTAAAAACATACATTGGTCGATTCTCTTTCTAATGGATTCAGCAATCAGCGAAAATGCAGCCCCAGTGATACTGTATTTCATCCAAATAGACAATACAAAATATTGTTTTGCTTTCTCACCCAGTCCAAGATGGCGACCGAATAATCGTCTGAACAGAAATGTCTCCTTTCGTCGCTCAAATATCCTCCTTAAACGCGCTTCATTGGCAAAATATTGGTTCGTAAGTCTTGGTAGGGTCTTTTTCTTGGACTAACGGTCAGTATTTACCTGGTGGACTCGAGTTTTAACTGCGTACCAAACCTTTTCTGTTGCCTACGTGTGAACCCAGCTCAAAGTCACAGTGTCACGATTCCTGATTATTCTAGTCACATGACCTCCATTCCAAGCCGTTGATTGGCTGAAACATACATGACCCCAAATTGCGACCTCTCTTGTGACGTCACAAACAGATGACTAGTTGCTTGATAGTTCCCGTTACCAAATGAACTTTTCCTCTTAACAAAGGAAACAAGTAATGAAAACAATGAACCGGAACAAACGTTAATAACTTTCTAAAATATTAACGTTTTCAAATACTAAGTGAACGGATCATAAGATAAGATTTTACAATAATAAAAAACCCCGATGTATTTAGAAGTTGCCACACCCACCTCATAACAAGCTTCCGTAATTGTGTAATGTCCCCCATCCCATGTACTCACCATGCGTAATGATGATGACACACTTCAAAATAAATCAGATCTTCATTCGTCATCTTATCATTTATACCAGTGTCTTTTTAAACACACGCTGAAAATAAATTGTTTTCACCGATTGTTTAATATGTCATGAAGGTGGTTTCTATTTTCCTGTGCCAATGATAATATTTTGTGATATATATTTGCCTTGCCAAGCAATTAACACGGGTATATTAACAATGTAATAAGGACCATATAATCTCTTCAGGGCACCGGCTTTAGACAACAGATGCAGTAACAGCATTGTCTGAGCGTTTTCATTACTGTTACTTGAACTCGACCGCTGTGAGCGCAACATATCCCCCATCCATACATCGTTTAATTCACCATGAACGTCAAGAAAAATTGGATCTGGCGAACCTACTGACAATTATTGATTTAACGAAAGCTATCGTCAGCACACATCCACGGTCAGCTAAAATAGAATTAATCACATATAATAGTTTTTTTTAATACATGCGAAAACAAATCCTTCGCCGTCCTTCATGAACATGCTTGGAAGCACAAGAACTAACTGCTAGTATTTGGGTAACAAACGGAAATTGTTTCCCTAATTTGAGAGAGAGAGAGAGAGAGAGAGAGAGAGAGAGAGAGAGAGAGAGAGAGAGAGAGAGAGAGAGAGAGAGAGAGAGAGAGAGAGAGAGAGAGAGAGAGAGAGAGAGAGAGAGAGAGAGAGAGAGAGAGAGGTAGAGAGGTTTTGTTTTATTAAAGTCTACACACACAGCAATGATGATAATGATGATGATGTATTTTTTATTTGACAGGTATACGTGTCGCTTCACGTATTATGTCCGTGTTTTATGATTTTTTATGTTTATTATTATTTGTCATGTTTGTGATGTTTATTGTTGTACACGAGATAATGATGTTTATTATGTTAATTGTGTTTATGATGTTTTTTACGCTCATGATGTTCCTGATGTTAATTGTGGTTTTGATTCTTGTGATGTTCAGAGTGTTCACGATGTTGGGGATGTTCAGAGTGTTCACGATGTTGGGGATGTTCAGAGTGTTCACGATGTTGGGGATGTTCATGTTTATAGTGATTATGGTGTTCATGATGTTCCTGGTGTTTGCGATGGTCATCCTGTTCCTGGTATTTAGGATTGGGTTTGGTTGTTGTATAACGCAGCACTCCTCAATATTCCAGCTATATGGCGGCGGTCTGCAAATAATCGAGTATGTACCAGACAATCAGGTGATCAACCACATGAGCATCGATCTACGCAACTGGGATACGATGACATGTGTCAACCATGTCAGCGAGCCTGATCACCCGATCCCTTTAGTCGCCTCTTACGACAAGCATGGGTTACTGAAGATCAATTCTAACCCGGATCTTCACGAGAGTGGTGTTCAGAATGTTTGTGACGTAGGTGATGTTTATGATGAACGGAAGAATGTTTTCAAGCTGACCGATGATGCCCACGAGGCCATGCCGGAGGCTACAGACTGTAATCTACCAGGCATGACGTAATCCCCTCCCATAATTCTTACACCCGTATTAATACTAAAAGTCTCGTCTATCGTAAATTTACTCCTGAGTTAAACACATAAAATAACATTGATATTTAACCGTTCGAAAGTCGCCGGAATTAACATGCGCATAAGAAATATAAACACGCGGATAGGGATTATCTGTCGTTAATCCGCCCGCGTCTTACACAAACTCTGCCTGTCACGTTGTCACAACGGTCTCCCCAAGCCAGCGGCGAAGTCTGTATCATCCGGGAGTTCAATTTATTCACACGTTTTAATGTCTTCTGAATACGTACAAGCGACAGTGTTAATTACGCGCATGCGCTGAATGGCCCCTATTTGATCCGACCTCTTGACTGACATTAATTGCATGGCAGGCAATAAGCTCCGCGGTCAGCACGTGTTGGACCGATATTGAATAAATACACAAGGTCATCTTCCGGGTTAGGACTGACCGCTGTCATCACCCGCAGACAGAAACATGACATAGTGAGTGAGTGAGTTGGGTTTTACGCCGCTTTTAGTACTATTGATCTCACGGCGGGGTCACTAGAAACGGAAGCTTCACACATTGTACCCATGGCCAGAATCGGGCAGGTCATCGGTGGGACGAGCGAGCCATTAAACCACCCCACCGTCCCTATGACATGGAAATAGACTTGTAGACATGTATCGCATAAATTGTAACTATGTATTTTCTGGTGAAAAATGCAGTTTAATTTATGATATACGATCTGTTTCTATTTCCATGTCGCCAAGAACGATGAGTCAACTATCTTCATCCCCTCCCATTCGATAATTTTGTGACCGTCTGACCCATAATCAATAATGCGATAAACCAACTCCTCACTATCAATCATGTTTCTGTCTGCCGAAGATGATCGATCAACGAAGATGACCTTTATTATTCAATATCGATTCCAACGATAACTGACCGCGAACCTGCCATCTGAGCCAATGTCGATCGAAGGTCCATTTGCATGTACGTAATTAACACTGTCGCTGTACGTATTCGAACAAAACGATAATGAATAAATACGAACTATATCTTCGAACTTCGTTAACGCGAAGAACTGTAATAGGCTGCCGGAGCGTTAACGACAGTATCCGCGATGTTTATTCTTATGCGCATGTTAATCCGGCTTCGGCTGATGCGTATCAATGTTATTTTATGTGTTTAACTTTCGGGTAGAAACCAGGCTGGTTTCAATATTACGGTGGTATGGGGAGGATACGTCATGCCTGATAGATGACGCGGCATGACCTCGTCATCGTCGGCGCTGGCATCTTAAGCTATCATGACATCTTGTCACAAACATTCTGAACATATATAATCGAGTTCGGCGATGGCTTCGTAACCGGCTTAACTAATGCTGACGCTCAATGACACATGTCATCGTATCCCAATTGCGTCGAATCATTAACCATGATTGATCTGATGTCTGTGCATCATTATTGCGAACATATCCTGCTAACTGAATATTCCAGTGCTGCGTCTACGGCAACCAATAATACCGAGGAACAAATCGCTGAAACACCGGGTGTATGGTACACCATAATCATAAACATGGTCATCTATCTGTTTATCCCCAACATCGTGAACGCTGTTTATCCCCAACATCGTGAAACACTCTGAACATCACAGAATCAAACCACAATTACATCGAAGGCATCATCGGCATGTATCATAAGCAATTAACATAATAAACATCATTATCTCGTGTGTAACATCACAAACATGACAATAATAATAAGTATAAATCATAAGTACAGACATATACGTATTTTATTACCTGTCAAAAATAAAAAAATACATCATCGTCGTACTTTAATGTGTGGAATTTTAATAAAAACAAAACATATCTCTCTCTCTCTACTACTTCTCTATATACTCTCGCCAATTAGAGCAATTTCCGTTGCAACGGTTGGATGCCTGATAACTTCCAAGCATGTTATGAGAAAGACGACTAACTTCATGTATAAAAAACTATTATATTGATTATTCTATTTTAGCGATGGTCTTTGACGACAACTTCGTTAAATCAATGATTGTCATTAGTCAATTTCTTGACGTTCGTAATTGAGTAAACGATATTTATTAGTGGTATCGTGCTCACGGCGATAATGACGGTAATGAAACGCTCGAGACGGCTCTTTGTTACTTTAAATCTGTTGATCAAAAGCCGATTGCTGAAAGAAGATTATGGTCACTTATTACATTGTTAATATACCCGTGTTAAAACGAACAAACTATATATCACAAAATATCATTAACGAAATAAAACCACCTTCTGTTTATGTTTTGTCGTTAATAATTCGTAGTATTTAAAAGACGCTGGTATAATGTTAGATGACGATTTGAAACACGAGATGTGTGATATCATCATTACGTAATATTTTATGGATGAACATTACACAGTACGGAAGCTTTTAGGTGGTGTATTGCTATCGGTTTTATTGACAGCAAAATCATCTTGCTGATCCGTTCACTAATGTTGAAACGTTAATGTTTTGAAATTGTAACGTTTGTTCGGTTCGTGTTTTCGTGCTGATTTCTGGGTGGAAGAGACTGGGCTGACAACGAACTATCGGCTGACTGGTATCATTCTGTTTAACGTCTGAAAGATGCTGTTTCGGCAATCGACTGAAACTGGGGCATCGGAATCTATTGATGGTCACGCTGAAAAGGTTTATTTTGATTAACTTCAGTCCCACCAGGTAAATACTGACCGTTAGTCAAGAAAGTTCTGAACACGGAACAATGTTTGCCAGTAACGCGTGGAGGATTGACTGACGAAGGCCATTTCTGTTCAGTTTGTTCAACTGGAATATCATCTTCTGGAACGTGACTGGTATTTTGTTGTCTGTTTGGATGATCTTGTGTCGCGGGGCTCGGTACACTAGCGTTGCTGATCCCGTGAAGAGAATCGTTTCAATGTTTTGAGATGACACATTTGGGCGGGCGGTTGTGTTTTCTGTAGTGTTTATTTCTGCTTGACTTGCTGGCATTGTGGTTGGCACTGGTTTGATAAACGAGATACATGCTTTCGCTTCCTCGCGAAGTATGTCTTAATAGACGCTTTATTGCGATATTCATTTACCAACTGAAGTCGACGAAAATGACGTATCGTAATTTTGATGCATCTTTATTAATAACACGAT